CCCTTTTGTTCTTGGACCATTCCTACACCCTTTACTCTACAACCCATAGCACCCCTCCTCCTCACTCCATTCCAGCAGCTTGAAGGCCATTTCCAGAGCTTAAGAGTCTCCAAACTTGATCCAAAGACTGTCAAAGATTGGTTCTTCAAGGGTAAGTCTTCTTTTCCTCTTTTCTTGCTTTATTTTGATCTATATTCTAGCCCCTTGTGATCGCATATTTGGGCTCCGACCCTAACTAAAAATAGTCTTATTTTAAGCTCTATTTCATGTTTGATTAAGGGCTTCTCCCTATTTGAGGCTTCTTTTTTACACTTTGTGTTAAAAGCCTCTTTTAGGCCTCTTTCTTGCATAGTATTTTAGGCCTATTTGTAAACTGTTTCAAGCTTTGTTATAAACTGTGAGTTGCCTTATTTTTAGCACCTCTTCAACTTTGTTGAAGGGCTCTTCACTGTTTGGGACTTCCCTCTATCACTTGCCTCTTTTTCCCTCTTTTAGCCCCTTTGTTTGCATGTTTTTTTAGCTCCTTGTGCTTGTATTTTTGGGCTCCGACCCGAACTGTAAAGAGTTATATTTTGACCCCCTCTTCATGTTTGATCAAGGGTCCTTTGCTATTTGAGGCTCCCTTTTTGTTCTTTGTGTTTAAACCTTCTTTTAGGCCTATTTTTGCATAGTGTTTTAAGCTTACTTGTGCACTGTTTTGGACTTGGTCATAAACTGTAAAGTGCATTATTTTGAGCCTCTCTTCAACTTTGTTGAGGGCTCTTCTTTGTTTGGGGCCAGCTGCTGTCCCTTTGTGTTTAATCTCTATTTTAGGCTTTTTCTTGCATGATAGATTAGCCCTATTTGCATTCGTTTTTGGGACTTGTTATAAACTGGAAATATGCATGTTTTGGGACTGTCTTGCTTTTGTCTTCATACTTAATGATCAAATAATGCATGTTTTGTATAGATATAGGCCAATGCATATGCCTAGTTTTGTGTTTCGGGTTCATTCCATGCATCGGGTGCCATGTTTCTATGTTTCGGGGCTGTTTTGCATCATATTTCAGCACTGAAATTTGCATGTTTGCATACCATGTTTCATGCCTTGCCATGCCTTATTAGTGTTGCATGTTATGCCTTGGGTTCGGTCCTCGATTTGCGTGCATGTGTGCACGCATTTCGAGTGTCTCATTTTTCATCTCATGGCTACTAATGTGAGTGTGGCTGAGGTCCACTCATGTTGGTGTAAGTCCATTGTGCATTGAGTATGCCATTTCATTTTATAGCATTGCGTATGCTAGGTTGTATGTTAGAGCATTGCGTATGCCTTGTTACATCGTGCATTGTGTATGCCATCTGATATCATTGTGCATGCTAGGTTGTATATTAGTTGCATTCATGCATGTCATGCATATTGCACTGTGCTTGTGATAGGAATTAGCCCGAGCATGGGAAACGAGGGACGTTTCGTAATTCGAGTGACGGAACGTGTCTCAATTCCCAGTCACCGACACTCCGGATTATCCATGATAGAGTTTAGGTTTTGTTGTGTTTATATGTGCATTCATTTCATATTGAGTCGTGCAATTCGACTCCTCGGCCATCATGCATCGATATGCATGATTGGTGGCACGAGGACCGAGGACTACACTCCCTGAAGAGTAGTCATGCATACATATGTGAAAATACTTTGCCATGCCCCTTTGTTGCTCTCTGTTGCAGCAAATCAGAAATCGACAGCCTTCTAGAGCTTGGCACGCATTCCAAGAATAATTGCAAACAGAGGCAAACCGGGGCATCGCGAGAGATTCTTTGCACAAGGCAACCCGAGCATGCATCATTCATCATCCGGAGCAGATTTGAGGCAGTCCCTGGCTTGCATGCCAATTTATTGCTTTCCTAATTTAATTTGTTAATTAATTAGGGTTTTGTACATATTTGGACTGTAATTATTTATTTGGGACTATATATTATTTATTCGGACCCTCTACGCGAGGGCAATGTTGTAATAAGTGTGCGTGTGTGTGATGTATGTCTTCCAACCCCACGTCTTTCTCCCTTTTATTTACCCGCTTATGATGGTTAGATTATGGCATGTTTCAATTAGCATACAGTATAATAGCATGTTTTCATTCATTCATCTGTTTTGCATGCACCGGGCTCGGTGCATCATACTAACTGCATTGTATTTTCAATTCCAAGTTGAATACATGTTATCTGTAGCATTTCATATGCCATGTTTAGAATAGCCGAGCCTGCTATAGTTGCATTTTTGCATGTGTTGCATTAGGCATTTCCGTATAATTAGGATCATGCATGGATTTCTAATTAGCTTCTGTTTTGGCTTGGAGTACTCGGTAAGTTTTATGCTATAGCATCCCTGCATGCGTGTGAGTGACTGCCATGAATAGCATGCTTACCATGAGGCTATATGCTTATGTGATATAACTGCCTGAATGCCTGTGGGTGAAGGTTGGGTTATTTGAATTGGAACAATTCATCAAATGTGTGTTTTAAGCCCACTAGATAGTGGCAAAATCATGTTTTTCTAAGCCCACCCGAGGGTGGCAAATCCACGTCTTAGCTTACTTGCGGGTAGCACCATCAAACCACTTTAAAAAATAAACATGAAATGTTTTGTTCCAATTCAGACGATCTAATCTATACTTGTATGCTGTGCGCATCACATAGTAAATCTAGGCTAAATAACCGGAATAAGAACGCATAATGTTTTCAAAAATAGATATCATGGTTAGTAGAGGCCGATCTTTGATCGGGCGAGCGGGGGTGCTCACGAAGTGACCTTCCCCAATCGTACCCAAGTTCCCGAGCCAAGGCAACTTTGGTGATGACGGACACGTGGCCTTAGGCAAATGAGTCAGGGTTTCCTAAATTTCTCCAAAATAAAACATTTAGGTGGCGACTCTGTATCTGGCAAAGCAGTCCATGTTTGGCACTTCTTTCAAAATCTGTTTTCTCAAAACGATTTGCCGGATTTGGACTCTTTGGTTCAGATTTAGAACCGTGACAATTTGAGAGTCCGAACTGTAGTGAACCCCAAATGAACAGAACGGGACTCATCCCTCCCGGGGCGTTCGGGGACGTCTACAGGTAGTTTCTCTTGTTAATTTTTCTTTATCACTTTCTCTCAGGCTGTCATATCAACTTGTTACTATATTCGTGAAATTATGTTCAATATAATTTAGAAAACTTTGCACTCTAGTTGCTGCTATGGATATTTAGTACATGGCGTATACATCTCTTCCATTGTTTTATTACCTCACTTGTATTTGTAGTATAATCAATATCTAATAAATATCATATATTACTTATTGGTTTTAGTGGTACTTCTCTTAAAAATACTTCCTTTCTAGGGATTAATTTTGCATAAATGGGTACTCCCCTAGCAAATGATCCTCTATTTAAATAACTGTAGTTTCTCATTCTTTTTTTATAGTCATAATTTCTAGTGTCATCTTCCAATTGATGCCTAGTAAAGTTTCTAAAATCTGGATGATTTGGATTAGGTGGGGCAGACGAACTACTTCTTTTTTGTTTTACAACTACCATATCAATATCATTAACGTTATTAGTCTCTTCGAACCCTTCTAAGGTATTATCTTCTTTTTCTTTTCCTATGCGTTTGAAGTTTTGTAGGACATTATTTTTTTTTTTTCTGCATAACTATTTCTCATTGTTTGTTCTAAATCTTCAAGGAGAATGTATTTCATTTCTCCCAAATTGATTAATACTAATTGTTTATATATATCTTCTTCTAATTCTATTCTCTCATTATTTATTTCTTCTATTATTTCTTCATCTATCATATCTAATTGTTCAGCTATTTTTAATATTATTTTGTACATTATTTCATTATCATTTTTCTTTTCAGCCATTTCTTCTAACTATTTTAGGCTATAGTTACTTAACTCCATTATCTTTTTGGTTTGCAGATGAAACAAGTTCAAATGGTTCTTCTGGATTATTTCATTTATATGGATAGGGATATAGATCTAATTCTTTTTGTTTTCCTTCAAAAATGGCTACTTGTTTCTAGATCTTGTATAAAATGTCTAATTTTGTTTATTATTTCTAATTGATTAGTTCTAAAAATTTTGTTAATTTTTTTAATAGCCTAATTAATATATTATTTTGTTCTATTATTATTTGTAAAGAAGTATTATTATTTAAATTATCATATTCTACTTTTTAACTATATTTAATACTCATGCAAATGTTATTAGCAAGGTAAAGAAACCGAGCTCTGATACCAATTTCAATTGAGGGTTTGCAGATCAAATTTAATATTAACTCTTGTAAAAACTTTCGTTGGTAATTTACACTGGCCTTTTCTAAGGAATTTGTTTCCTTAATGCTATCAATTCTCTGACTATAATTTATTACAGTTTGTTTTGAAATAATAACCAAAAGAAAATTTAATCAATTTAATTCACTTTCTAATTCAAAAATATAATCTAAACTATATTTTATTTTAGCTCTAAATTTTGTAATTAAACGCATATAAATATTAATTCTAAATTTATACAAAAATATAATTTTTTTATAACTAATTATAATTTTTTGTAATTTTTCCACATTTTGAGTTCAATTTATAATTTAGTGAGAATTATTGGTAATGGGACTTGCTGATTTAGGTTAGGTTTGGCATACCTTAAAACAGTTAAAAAGTCAAAAAATCATTATATTATTTAAATCACATCATCTTATTTAAGTCACATCATCTCTCTATCACATTATTTCAAATTCAACCTATATTTTATTAAAAAAAATCATAAATTATATTTATATACTTGACAACTATTGGTGATGGGACTTGATGAGTTGGCTTTGGTTTGAAGAGATGGTTATCGGGCAGGTTTGGGTTAAAGGGATTTCAGGCAGTGAGAAATTTTCATTTCAGAAATCTTTACGTTTCGTTTGATATGGGAGTTGGTTTTTTAAATTTTTAATTAATTAAAATTTTTATTTGGATTAAATTATAGATAAAAATTACCAGTAAATCCTATATAGTAGAAAGTTAAACCATTTAGTCCTATAAGTTTTCTTATGCACCATTTAGTCCTCTTTTTACATCACAACATTATCATCAAAACAACATCATCATCAAAACAACTTCACAACATCATCATCCCTTTCTCTACCTTAGAAAGATGATCACAGTAATAATCAATCCGTAGATACCCAACACACCAGCCATAACCACTGGAACAATCGACTTCATCACAAGCTCTGGTCTCATCACACCCATTGACGCCACTGCAACGCCACTCTTCGCTGTCCCATACGCAGCCCCCATACCTAAAAAACATATCCATATATAAGAATTGCAGATGCAAAAACAAAAAGAAGAACAAGAACAAGAAGAATAAGATCAAGTTCAAATTGAAATCGGACAAGGGAGATTGAGAGTTGGTGGTGTTACAGGAGAAAACTAGGGCAGATGCAGCGCCGAGGAAGCCGAAGAACGGTGCCGTTTCATCGCCGCTGAAGGTTGAAGCCATTGTTGTTGTTTTTTTGTTTCAAGGGTTTGGAATTTGCAGAGAATTCGATCGGATCTGAGAGAGGGAACTGCGGATTGGAAAGGTCGGATTTTTTTTTTTGGGACTGAGATTGGGCTTAGGGCTGGGTGGAGATGGACAAGACTGATCTTGAAGAATGAGAGGCTTATCCTCCTTACCCGGATGATGATCGAAACATCGATCCTGATGAAGCTTTATCTTACATTGGAAGGGTTTCGTCAAGATCCTGATGGTGTTGTTGATGATGGCGGAGCCGCCATTGTTGGTGGTCGGATATATATACACATTGCAGAGAAGAGAAGAGAAAAAGCAGGGAAGAGATAGTAGGGATTGATTATATATATACATAATGTTGATGGATGGATAAAACAGAGGCGATGGTGTTGGTGTTCGATTGATGAATCTGATGTTCTAATGAATTTGATGATGGATTCGATTTAAGGGATTTGAGGGAAGAACATCACTGTGTTGATGATTTCGATCGAATATCACACATCCGATATTCAAGAACATTCAAGAACATCACTATGTTGAAGAACATCACAGATCCAACATTCAAGAACATCAATGTATTGAAGAACATCACAGATCCGATATTCAATCTGATTTGAGTGAAGAACATCACTGTGTTGATGATGTTTGATCTGTTTTGATGATGTTAATGTTGATATGTTTTTGATGACGTTAATGTTAATGTTAATGTTTGCTGTTTGATTTGTTTTGATGATGTTAATGTTGATCTGTTTTGCTAATGTGGATCTATTTTGATGATGTTTGATGTTTGATGTTGTTTTGATAATGATGTTGTGATATTTGATGTTAATGGTACCTTTCAGTCTAATGATGATGTTTTCATAATGATGATGTTGTCATATTATATCACAGTGATGGATAATGTTTGATGTCGATGATGTTTCAGTCTAATGATGATGTTTTCATAATGATGATGTTGTGATATTATATGACAGTGATGGATAATGTTTGATGTCGATGATGTTCAATGGTCACTAACATTGGGATAGGACCTAACGGTTCATAAGAAAATTCATAGGACCAAATGGGTTACAAGATACAAATTTGGGATTTATTGGTGCATTCTCCTAAATTATATAAATATATTATTTTATATAA